AGCAAGGAGCAGACGGCTGAGTTTATTAAACTCCACCGAGACAGCGGTGACGCTAATCAGAAGGCTAGACCGTCCAATTTCACGGCCGTTTACTTCCGGCCTACCCGACCTTCTGAGGACCCGGCCCACGTAGACCGCGAAGGCCTATATTACTCTGTTTGTGTCGGGGGACCCGATCCTTGGGGTGGATCAATTTTTGGTGCAGTGTGTTTTGGGGTTTAAAAGCCACAGATGTGCTGTGTTTAGAAAAAATGCACCTCAACTGCGCCGATACTCCAGACATTATGGCATCACTAAGGGTTTTCACTTAGGCAGTAGTTGTCCTTCTCTCCTGGATCAGCTGGAGCTTTCTTTAGGTTCCTTCCCAGATATTTATACATCGGGTAAACCAAAAAAACCTCTGGGGAAGTGAATGGCACAACACAGAAAAGCTAACTCTAGCCAGGACTCTGCAGTCTGTTTACACCTACAGGCCAGTGGACACTCTTTCAGTGATGAGGATGTAACATCCTGGACAGGGACGGATGCTGGTTTGAGTAGCATCGCTGCTACTTTGTGTTTGTAAATAGATTCCCTGGATCCCCGTGTTTGAGGCGTGGAGTGTAAGGAGTTGGAGGAACATGGCGTGTGTGGATTCCCCTGCCTGCACTTTATATATATCGTGCACATTGGTGACTGTAAATAAACCTTTGACCTTTAACCCTGAAAAGCCTGCGTCTGTGCCTGAGTCCGTTCCATCCGCCTTGACAGTTACATGTAAAACATTTGGACAACAATGTTATGTCATTAGATCCTCAGCTTGAACAGTTTGTTTTTCTACTAGTTTAACGAGCCCTTTTCAGATGAAAACAATGGAAAATTTAAATTTTTTCATGCAGTGTTACTTCCTTGAAATGGCTCTGACTAGAACAGTTTAGTGTTACCCACGTCCACATCACACATTTGCAGAGAAAACTGGGCATTTACTTGAAGTGGTCTTTGCACTTTGAAAGTCCAATATTCTCTCCAAGTTTAGCTCTGATTTGCTTCCTGTCAGCTGCTGAGGAAAACATCAGGCTCTTTACCTGATAATGTTCAACTTTCCAGCAGTTAATTTTTTACTTTGTCTGCCTGCTGTTTGGTCTGTGTTACAGTACTTTTATCAAATTTACTGGACCTTCCAACTGTTCCAACCTAATTTAACCCCGTTTCACTTGGAGCTTTGCCACAAAGCTTGTTTTCAACATCTTGGATGAGCAGGCGTTCCCTCCACTTG